CTCCGATTAACGGGCCTGCGCTCCTCGCTCTACTTCCTGGATGTAAACGAGCACAGTGAACGGACAACATGTTGTAGGAGCGGAGCGGGTGGAGTGTTTTGATCTAGAAGATGTTATGGTTAACTGATTAATTAATTCTTCACGAGTCAGGGCTCGCACATTATAACTGGCCCAGATGAAAATACTGCCTGACAAAAGAAAAAGACAGTAACGTTCTGAATTTCACAGCGCTTTCCTGTCATACCGGTGTTTTGTCAGTAATTATCTTAAAAACGTTTGCGCTGGAACACGTTAAAGTTAAAGACTAGATCTGCTAAAGATCAAGTAATTCACAAAGCATCTTAGCCTTAGAGAGCTCCTAAAGTAAAGATGTAAGGATGAAGAGTTTCTCACAGAGAAGAAAGAAGGAGAGATTCAGATCTATCACAGCCTCATATTAATATCACATTAAGATCTTACAGTTAGCAGCATGGTGAATAAATATATGTTTATAATTAGAGCTCAATTAATGAAATAAAAGTTGTAATTTAATCTCGCATCAGAATGGTCAAGAGTAATATGGTGACTGTTATTCTTCAAATCAAAAGTAAAGTTCCTGGGCCAGTGATCTTTGAAAACCAGTGGCCCATTTAGCTTAATGTCAAGCCCTGCGTGTATCAGCTGGTTTGAACAGAGGAGACATGAGCTCCAGTGACCTTCTCTGCTCCTTTGATCTTCAATCAGAGCGTAACTCTCAGATCATGACGACGACACTCGTCTCATTTCTCCCTCATTTTGCCTCTTCCTTTTATGTTGAGTCAACAGACAACATTTAAATGAGACGGCGTTTGACCCGCCTGCTCTGTGAAGACAAAAGACACGAGGTGCAGCCTCTTCTGTCTGGATTTAATTATCGTCTCAGACGCCGTGGGCAGTGAAGGAGAGTCCTGTTTTGATCTTGGAGTGCTTTTAGAGCGCTCTTACCTGGGAGTGCGTTCTTCTTCTTCTTCCTCTCCGCCCACGGCCACCACCTCGTACATGAACTGCCCGGGCAGCAGAGAGAAAACGTCTCCATGACGGAGAGGGTACCAGGAGCCTTTCTGCAGAGGTCGAGGGTCATCGGCCGGGGACGACTGCATGAAGCACGGGTTGAAGTGGGTCTGAAGATAAAGAAACAAAAATCTCAGGTAAATGTTTAATATGGGGACGGGGACGGGGACGGGGGGAGACGGGGACGGGGGGAGACGGGTGATGGGGTAGAGACTGTGGGGTGACATGCAGCAAAAAGGGTGGAGGTCAGATTCGAACCCCTGACGGCTGCGCTAGGACCACCGCGGGCGTCACAACCACCACCACAGTGACCCGTGACAGGACTCCATCCCAGCAGTCCAGACGGGGAGGTTATGAATTGATCTGTCAATGTGTGATGTCATGAGGTCAATGTGTGATGTCATAAGGTCAATGTGTGATGTCATGAGGTCAGTGTGTGATGTCATGAGGTCAGTGTGTGATGTCATCAGGTCAGTGTGTGATGTCATAAGGTCAGGGTGTGATGTCATAAGGTCAGTGTGATGTCATCAGGTCAGTGTGTGATGTCATAAGGTCAGTGTGATGTCATAAGGTCAGTGTGTGATGTCATCAGGTCAGTGTGTGATGTCATCAGGTCAGTGTGATGTCATCAGGTCAGTGTGTGATGTCATAAGGTCAGTGTGATGTCATCAGGTCAGTGTGTGATGTCATCAGGTCAGTGTGATGTCATCAGGTCAGTGTGTGATGTCATCAGGTCAGTGTGTGATGTCATCAGGTCAGTGTGTGATGTCATCAGGTCAGTGTGTGATGTCATCAGGTCAGTGTGTGATGTCATAAGGTCAGTGTGATGTCATAAGGTCAGTGTGTGATGTCATCAGGTCAGTGTGATGTCATCAGGTCAGTGTGATGTCATAAGGTCAGTGTGATGTCATAAGGTCAGTGTGATGTCATCAGGTCAGTGTGTGATGTCATAAGGTCAGTGTGATGTCATCAGGTCAGTGTGTGATGTCATCAGGTCAGTGTGTGATGTCATCAGGTCAGTGTGTGATGTCATCAGGTCAGTGTGTGATGTCATAAGGTCAGTGTGATGTCATCAGGTCAGTGTGTGATGTCATCAGGTCAGTGTGTGATGTCATCAGGTCAGTGTGTGATGTCATAAGGTCAGTGTGATGTCATCAGGTCAGTGTGTGATGTCATCAGGTCAGTGTGTGATGTCATCAGGTCAGTGTGTGATGTCATAAGGACAGTGTGATGTCATCAGGTCAGTGTGATGTCATCAGGTCAGTGTGTGATGCCATCAGGTCAGTGTGTGATGTCATCAGGTCAGTGTGATGTCATCAGGTCAGTGTGTGATGTCATCAGGTCAGTGTGTGATGTCATAAGGTCAGTGTGATGTCATCAGGTCAGTGTGTGATGTCATCAGGTCAGTGTGTGATGTCATCAGGTCAGTGTGTGATGTCATAAGGACAGTGTGATGTCATCAGGTCAGTGTGATGTCATCAGGTCAGTGTGTGATGCCATCAGGTCAGTGTGTGATGCCATCAGGTCAGTGTGTGATGTCATCAGGTCAGTGTGTGATGTCATCAGGTCAGTGTGTGATGTCATAAGGTCAGTGTGATGTCATCAGGTCAGTGTGTGATGTCATCAGGTCAGTGTGTGATGTCGTCAGTGTGTGATGTCATCAGGTCAGTGTGTGATGTCATCAGGTCAGTGTGTGATGTCATAAGGTCAGTGTGTGATGTCATCAGGTCAGTGTGTGATGTCATCAGGTCAGTGTGTGATGTCATCAGGTCAGTGTGTGATGTCATCAGGTCAGTGTGATGTCATCAGGTCAGTGTGTGATGTCATCAGGTCAGTGTGATGTCATCAGGTCAGTGTGATGTCATCAGGTGGATATTACTGTGTGAGAGTTTGTTAAAGTGAAATGAGACATTCAGAGATGCAGCAGTGAGACTACAGGGAGACACTGAGGACGAGTATCTACGGAGAGCCTGAAGGGACAAACATGAGGTTAATGTGATGAACTCGTTAATGCTCACAGCTCTGATACTTCTGTACAAAGCTGTCCCCCTCCGCTGCTCTCTGCAACACAGAGGAAACAAACAGAAAGACAAACGTACTGGTTTGAGGCGCAGCTGTCCGTTCAGGTTCTCCAGCAGCCCGTGGTTTCTGGACACTCTCCGATCGCTGACCTGAGAGCACGTGAAGAATAAAAACAGGGCATGAGCTTCAGCAGGAAATGATTCAGATCAGATGTGTGTTAGACGTCTGACGACTCCGTCAGGACGACTGATCCAAGGAACATCAATCTGCTTCATAGCAGGATAAAGAGTGAGAGTATTCAAAAGATAAAACATGATGAGATAAAACTGAAGAATCATTTTAAACAAAACAAAAGGTGCGGCGAGGGAATAAATACGGGAGGAGATGAACTGAATCATTCTCTTCCAGATCAAAGATGCATCACTTATTCGACAACACCTGAAACTGAAACGGGTACCATGGTTACCAGATCGTGATATCTGCGTAGTGATGTTTAATCTTTGATGGATCAGAGCTTTAAAGAAAACCCTGTACACCATCAGAGACTACACCAGGTGTTAGAACCAGTCCAGCTGCTCCCATGTTCCCAGGACGACAGCGCCCCCTGGTGGTTCAGAGGGAGAGCTGCGATCCTCCAGGAGTCTCTGGGTGTGATTACATCACGCACACACATCATTATGTTAACCCATAGCCTTCATACCTTAGTTCACTTGATGGTGAACAAAAGATATTTGAGTGAGTGAATGTTATCTCTAAGACTCTTTTTAAGAACTCACATGTTTTTTATTTGACACATGTCCCCTTTAAGGGCTTACACACTGTTAAGTCGTCCATACATGTTTGTCTTCAGTTCAGTTCAGATTCTTATTGGACCAAACACTTCTTGATTTAGTTTCATTTTGTGGACATAAGTTTAAAGAAGTTAAATCGCAAAATGTTTAAAAATCACAATGATACCGAATCGTGACTCAAAGTATCACATCGGGGCTTCTGGTGAGTCCCACCCCTCATACATAAACCGGACTTACTCCCAGGAAGGGACCCCTGCCCAGCACCGTGTCCCCCGGCGGCAGGTGGATGGGACCCCCGCCGTGCACCGGGACGAGGTGGAAGCCGGACATCAGCTCAGCAGGCGGGCCTGGAGGGAGCTTCAGCCCGGGGTATCTGGAGGTGATTGTATAAAACACAAAACCTGACACATTATAATTCAGTGCACTGGATTGTAAAGTTTATTCTGTTCATGAAATGAGCTTTAAAGAGCGTTTCTAACTTTCTTTCATTCAGCTGATAATGTCCTACAAAGACGTTTTTTGTCAAACTTTTCTCTCTGCCTACCTGCTCAGGTGGTCAACAGGAGTATAAACTGTCACTCACTGTTTTGGAAGTCAAGGCGAAAGGACAGAGAAATGTGTGTTTTCATGGATAAGTCTGGGCAAGTTTAGGATGTCCGCCAAAGACAGTTCAAAACTTCCGGGATGCGAGTGGCGCATGCGCAGTAGGCAGGAGGCAATGGCGATTTACAAAATAATATAAATCGTTTTGTTTTTTTTTATTTATCGTGAGTAGAGGAGGTAGCCTACACATCACAATTTAAAAAATGGGCATAAATGAATTAGAATTATTGTACTGCTTTACTTTGTATAATAATATTTTTTTTTATTTGTAGCACAAATTTTATAAATGTTTACAACTAAACCCAATCGCAAACGAGATGGTCATGTCAAGGGGATTATTCTAATGAATTAAAATACGACTAAATGACTCCTATATACTTACAGCATAAATGTTACAACGTAAATAAAGATGCGTCAAGTTACCGGATGTTTTGTTTAAAAATGTTGATGGCTTGATCTGAAGGTAAAAAAAAAAAAGGTTGTTTCGGGAAACTATACGATTAAATGTATTTTGTCTTCGCATGGGTACCATAGACTGTAATAGATGGGTACGTGTATTTTAAAAGAGCCGACCGTCTACAGAAACACTGTACAGAAAATATATATATTAGTGTTTTATTTTGAAAACGGTTTTTTTTCTGTTTCCTACGTCTTTCACGCATGCGCTCTTGGTCAGAAAACAGAGTGACGTGTGCTGTGTGTGTAAACAGCCGTTGAGACATTTAAACAGTCAGCTGTGAGACGGACACGAAGCGAGCTCACTGCCGGTGAGAAACTGATATTTAATCTTCACTATATCGTCTTTTGATTTTATTTTCCGGCTGGTTTTAACTGTGAGCGACATTCTGTGACATATGTTGTTATTTGGCCTGAAAACTACAAAACCAGGAGAGTTTTCCGTCGCTGTTTAGCTAGCTAACGTAGAGCTAGCGTGGAGCTAACGGAGCAGCCCGTGGACTGAGGGTGTTACCATGAGAGCAACACTTAAATATATATAAATATATATATATATACACACACAATAACACTTAAATATATATATATATATATATATATATATAAGTGTTACCATGAGAGCAACACTTAAATATATATATATATATATATATACACACAATAACACTTAAATATATATATATAAGTGTTACCATGAGAGCAACACTTAAATATATATAAATATATATATATACACACAATAACACTTAAATATATATATATATAAGTGTTACCATGAGAGCAACACTTAAATATTTATATATACACACAATAACACTTAAATATATATATATATATATAAGTGTTACCATGAGAGCAACACTTAAATATATATATATATATATATATATACACACTAACACTTAAATATATATATATAAGTGTTACCATGAGAGCAACACTTAAATATATATAAATATATATATATATACACACAATAACACTTAAATATATATATATATAAGTGTTACCATGAGAGCAACACTTAAATATTTATATATACACACAATAACACTTAAATATATATATATATATATATAAGTGTTACCATGAGAGCAACACTTAAATATATATATATACACACAATAACACTTAAATATATATATATACACACAATAACACTTAAATATATATATATATATATATATATAAGTGTTACCATGAGAGCAACACTTAAATATATATATATATATATATACACACACAATAACACTTAAATATATATATATATAAGTGTTACCATGAGAGCAACACTTAAATATATTATATATATATATATATATATACACACACAATAACACTTAAATATATATATATATATATATATAAGTGTTACCATGAGAGCAACACTTAAATATATATAAATATATATATATATAAGTGTTACCATGAGAGCAACACTTAAATATATATAAATATATATATATATATATATATATATATAAGTGTTACCATGAGAGCAACACTTAAATATATATAAATATATATGTATATATACACACAATAACACTTAAATATATATAAATATATATATATATAAGTGTTACCATGAGAGCAACACTTAAATATATATAAATATATATATATATATATATATACACACAATAACACTTAAATATATATATATATATATATATATATATATATACACACAATAACACTTAAATATATATATATATATAAGTGTTACCATGAGAGCAACACTTAAATATATATATATACACACAATAACACTTAAATATATATATATATATATATATATATACACACACAATAACACTTAAATATATATATATATATAAGTGTTACCATGAGAGCAACACTTAAATATATATATATATATATATATATATATATATATACACACACAATAACACTTAAATATATATATATATAAGTGTTACCATGAGAGCAACACTTAAATATATATATATATATATATATATACACAATAACACTTAAATATATATATATATATTTAAGTGTTACCATGAGAGCAACACTTAAATATATATATAATATATATATATATATACACACACACAATAACACTTAAATATATATATATATATATATATTATATACACAATAACACTTAAATATATATATATATA